CCGGAGCTGAGCTGAGCTGAGCTGAGCTGCACTGCACTGGTCGAGAGCTGGGTGACAACTTGATTAACTCGTGTTCACGTTCGTCTTGCACAAGCACGAACAAAAGAATATTAATTAGCAATGACAATACATGCTGTCTATTCTAATTCCGCAGCTGGGCAAGCCTCACTAGCTAACTGGGCATTATCAAAATACATTCATTTTACAGCAAAAATAGAATATCATAACAATATGAAATGAGCCTTAGTATGACTGAAACGTGTCATTTGAGTGCCAGGGATGTTTGGTTCTGTTAACGGAAGTAATTCTTCACAAGTAAGCTTGGCTTGCACATTGTAAGAGCAAATGTTTTTGGTGATGGTGGGTTTACATATTGGTTGTAGGATCGGCCGTAAGCTTGTACATGACCAGAACCAAGAACATGGCTTACATGTGTTATTGTGTTGTTGTTTTTTCGAAAATGAAGAATCTTGAAAAAAAAAAATCTTGAAAAAAAATTCAAATGCGAAATAATGGTTGCGTTTTGAACCAGTTACGTAATTCACGTAACTATTTTCTATTTCTGGAATACCCAAATTAAGCCACTCAAAAACTACCATATTTACTATCGTGCGATTCGCTGTTGAGTTGACTGTCATGAATTTGTTTTCGCGTATCTGTTAACCGACTTAATTAGTTGATTATTAGCTGAATTGCTGTGTTATGTCTGTCATCGTTCAGGCCTATTTGAAGTTTTGGACGGAACTTGGCTCAGTGATTTGGAACTAATTACGAGATATTCGTCGCCATTTTGACAGTTTATATTCATAGTTATTAATGTAGTGAACGATTAATCAAAAGATATGACGTATTCAGTACTTAGTGTGATTGGCTTTATGATTGAAGGTTACGCCCTAGAGTCTTTTTACTGCTTTGTAATTGGTTAGAGTTTTGAAAATGAATAAAGAGAGTTTGAGTTGGTCTTGGCGAATACTCCACGACAGACGCAGTCCTGGGCAGTCCGAGAGAGTCCAGGGGCGAGCCTTGAGGCAGTCCAGTCTTGGGCGAGTCTTGGTTCAGCCTTGTGAGAGTCTTGGGGACTTTTCCCCAGGGCGCTGTATCTTATAGAGTGCTCGATTGACCGACTAAGACGAGAGCTGAAAAGTATTTCGTTGTGTGCGTCTTATTTGACTGTAAAGTTAAAGTGACATTCCCGATCCCGTACCTCAAGGGGACGAGATAGAGAGACGAGACGAGTTTCCCCCCTGACAAGTGTGGAGAACCCGAGAGTAGAAGATTTTACCCCTGATATGACACTGGAAAATCAGCGACAAAAGAAAATCGACAAGCGATGTGTGTTTACAAGTGCTGTTTTCAACTTTCGCCACAACGACCTCACTCTCTTCATACGCTATCGGTTTGTTGTTACATTCAAATTCTAGCAGCTCTCGTCTGTGGTACCTACTGACAGAGCCACATACAAGACACAGGAAGTGCCATTATGAGATAAACCTCACGCCTAGATTGACACTTCATTTGAATACGCTCCACGCATTGGTTGCTCACGAATATCAATAGCAACGCAAACTTCGTGAGAAACGTTTGCTTATTTTGCGATCACTTCCCAGTTCACTCTAATTGTACTCCGCATTTTACAAAAAACAACAACATTTCCCATACCTGGGGTATATAACTTGGCGATTTTACATAGAGCCTTACTAAAGTATTTTCCTTAGTTGTCATTTTAAATAATTTTTTAGTGGTTTTGCGAGTACTCATCAATTGTTGCCAATCGTCTTGTATATGCATAATGTCCGGAACTCCTATTTTAACCATTTAAAAAAATCATTATTCACATGCATACCTTATTGGCCATGTACTATCTGACCCAACATACCGACCCAACCTCATTCAAAATACACTCGTCCGGGGATGACCTTATATAATTCGGATACTATTAGAACTGGTTTAGTTAGTATCTCATGCGGCAGTGTGGTCGTCCCATGCTTGTGTTCTGACGATAACATGGCAGCAGTCGTACCCATCACCGTTGGTATCGGCGCCTTCGGTATATTATACTATATAAGGTACATGTAATTTTAAATTAACATTTTGTGAAAGTTATTACTTTGACAGTATCAAATTTTTTTTCAATGGTAGATATACTGGTTAGTGTAAAAAATATTGATTATGCTATATCCATTATGTATTTATTACATCAATTTACGATTGGTAAGTAGTCAATTTTTTCACGATGTTGTTGTTTTCAGCTGAAAAAAAAACTATTAATAGTGCTGTGTTACTGACTATTGCAAAAAGTAACGTTTTCCACATGCCTGCCACATTGTAGTTCAAATGTTCCATGACCGACCTGATTATCAACAACTTTTTGAAATGATATGGTTAATAATGTTATTATTCACTAATTCTAGAATTCCGACATGTATATATTCATGGATACATAATGTCGATCAAATCCATAATATCTTCAACGATCGGCAACAGAGTGTACTATCGTCCGTAGACAGTACTAGACAGTACTGAAACAATCGGCGCCCATTGTCTGGGGTAGGCATATATGTTGACCCAGATCAAATAAAAATCGGCATAATATTTAAGCAGAGTGGTAAATATTTATCTATATAAACAGAGTATGTATAAATGGAACATATTGTACTATAAATTACATCCTATACATTACGCACAGTTTTTAACCTGCCTCCAATTTAAGCCATTTGTTTCTAAACATTAAGCAAAGAAGGGTTATATAGCTTGACAATCTAAATTATCCAATGGCGTGACGTACTCTTCGATGCATTTGGCGATTCTAGTTGAATCCACGTGTACCATGGGCCCTGTACCGGACTACGCTTTTATATTGACCTATAAGTTTATGAGAAGATAGTCACGGGCACGCTCGGTACACATCAGGTGGCAGGCACTAGTTGTAGAGCTAGATAAGATATATATTAACTCTGGAAAAGATATAAATAGCACACGCATGGCTAATATATAATCGACTAAGCTATATAACATCAATCAGACACGAATATTGATTATAACAAAAATAAACTTAACACAGCATTTTGAATATTTGTTTTAACCCTCCGTATGAACAGGGTCTTCAATATCAGTTAAAATGTAGTAGCTATAATTCCAGTCTAAGCATAACTTTTTTTTTAGTTTTTTAATACAATATAATTAATCTTAGACCTCCACAGACATGAAAAACACTTCAGGTTGTCAGGTGTTTATTCAATACCAACAAATATAACGACCATATCATCTAGTTTATTCTTTATCTAAAATTCCATCAAAAATGTGATTATAAATCACAGTGTGTGTGAAGTTCATGGATGTTTGTTTGCCTGTCTGTCTGAGAATTAAAGGTCATGTTCATATCATTTATTGTGTTTACAACCATTAAGTCAATGCGTTTCCAAACTTTGATAAATTTCATCATTTTAGTCCTCCCAGTGTTTTCGTTGTTTCTGACACATATTTAACTAATTTAGTTGATTTATGAAAATTTACAAGGAAAGTCAAAGGCCATGTTTTATAGACGTATTCATCGAACCATAGTTTTGATCTTCATATGTATATTTACATCAAATATTTAGTAAAATATAATCTGAATATTTTTATAATATTTAGTAAAATATAAAGTGAAAAAAACAATGGACAATTTACACATTTACGAATCATGCAATGAGTTTTTCATTTTAATGCAAGGATCAAACTAGATAAGTAACCTTGTGGATGCATACACAATACCGAACTACAGCATTTTGATTCTCTTGCCACGTTATTCAACTAAATTTTCATCTTCGCCCTTATTAATGCATTCGTTATGATACTTTCAAACCTTTATAAACCTTTCAAGTTTTTTTATCTTGAAATCATGAAAAGTGTCTACCTTCCAGTTTCAGTCACTTTTATTAAGTCTATTTGTTATATTTATAAATTCGTTGTTCAACCCCAAACTGCTTGGTTAGGTATTGATCGATGAGATTTACTTCGAAGTTGAAAGCATTCAGGGGAACTAAAGTAGACCAAATGACTTGTTGTTGTCCTAATAACGGTACCTTTTTAATTAAAATTGCCTGATTTTCATCAACCAACCTCTGGCACAGAACCATAACATATCCTTAATATATCTCTGTCATCACTGCAAATGTAACCGCCGCCAGAGTTGATCGACAATGAACACATTTTGACCTTTGATTTACGCAATCGTACGCGTGACATTTGAAGTGTCACTGTGTGAGATCGCGTGACTTTTAGATTTAAAGATATCATAAATAGCTGTTTTTAGAATTCTAAATAAATTACGGCATTCAATCAAGTAAATGTTTAACCAGATCTAGTCATTGCTCGTCAAAAACATACGACACACGCACAAAACAACATTTGCCTCAAGCATTTAAGTCGAACGTAAAATCAAACATTCGCAGTGTCTAACAACATATAATTACTGCGAACAACAACAATAAATTTTCCCAGGGAGAGATTAACTCACCTAATTTCATACAGGAAATGGTTCAAGGGTGGTGTGTGTAGGAGCAAGACAAGGATGGATGGCAAAACAGTGCTGATAACTGGTGGCAATTCTGGTATTGGAAAAGAAACCGCAAGGGATATTGCTAAACGCGGTGAGTTTTACTGACTTCAAAATGAGATTTACGAAATGATTACCATACTTTCTCTGCACTTTTATTTAGTTGCTCATGCAGCCTAACAATTCATCAATGTAACAGTTGGATGCTGCTCGTGAATGTATCAGGACAAAAACAATTTACTCATATTCTGATTAATGCTAATTATGAGTGAAGTTAGAACATTCCAATGCTTTATACATCAACCCATGAGAAAATATATCTGTCACCCAGAGTGACGCTAACTATTATCACCAATTCTCGATTAATTACATTAGCATTGAATCTTTATTGTCTTCTCGGAAGTGTTGCCAGGGTAACCATGTCACATCATCATGTCTCTGAAACAACTGTAGGTGCGCGACTAATTTTGGCAAGTAGAGATGTTGAAAAGACTAAAAGGATTGCTACGGAAATAACACGCGAAAGTGGCAATGAAAATATTGTTGTGAAGAGGTTGGATCTAGGTTCTCTGCAGTCAGTGAGGAACTTTGCAGCAGAAATCATCAGAGGCGAGTATATCTTAGGTGTACATGTTTATATAAGATTGTTACAAAGTTTATCTCAGATGGCATCAATGTAATTTGTCAGATGTTTCATACAGAAACCTCTTGATTACGACTCAGATGATATATGGTGCAACACGTTGAACAAAATGTGCCCACTCTTTTCACAACACCTGAAATTACTTCATTGCATGCTGCATGTATACCATGGAGTTCATTTATACACAACTTACTACCTATGTAGTCTATTGTAGTCAGTTGTTTTTACCTCGATTAGCGATTATCGTGGCCATACTTTTCACACATATATAACAATATACATGTATAGTGATTTGATTTGTAATGTTGTACATTTCAGAGGAATCCCATTTGGACGTATTGATCAACAATGCTGGTGTGATGTGCTGCCCGTACTCAAAGACGGAAGAAGGATTTGAAATGCACTTTGGAGTTAATCACCTAGGTAACAAATAATCAAACTAAACACACACACTGTGAAATATGTCAGTTCTCAGAATGATCATTACATCATTATTTATGTATCTGGTTATTATTTCAACTATGTATTTCTTTTATGATCATCCACAGTCACTTTTTGTATGTTTTGGGAATAATTATAATACAAGTAAAGTAGAATTAACAACACACCCAAGTGATATCCAAATTTATTGCCACCAAAAAGAATGTTAGATTAATAATATTAACAAACACATAGTTTGACATCAATTACTGACTGGATAGTCATTCAAAACAAAGTAATTGAGCTGATTCAAAAATCTAGGTGCTAACTATCTCTAACGGTCCTATAAAATCACTAGGTGATGCATTGTATTCTTTTTCTGACCACACAGGACACTTTTTGTTAACCCACCTGTTGTTGGATCTGTTGAAGAAGTCCGCTCCAAGTCGGATTGTCGTATTGTCTTCACTTGTACACATATTAATGTTTGGGATACACTTTGACGATATCAACAGTGAAAAAAGTTACAACAGCTGGATTGCCTATTGCCACAGTAAACTAGCAAACTTAATGTTTACTCGAGAATTGGCTAAGAAGTTAAAAGGTATGTATTTAACCCAATTATTATATGCGGGTAAATATTGAGTTCAACCAACGAGTTGATACAGTTGTGATACGAATATTACAACCAAACCGGAACAGTATATATGATTTTCAAAATCGTATTTATTAAAAATGGCTTAAAATGTTAACGATGTCTATAAATCAATCCGTTTTCTTTAGAAGTATACTTATAATTGTAGTATAACTATTTTAATGCCAAATAATCCGGCCCTTGGAGGCCAAGGTAGTAGTAACTAAAGTACTTATCACAAATAATAATCATAAGCCCATCAATTTTTGCTGATATTTAACAAATATATTCTGTGTGGTGCAACATAACACAACACAAGTTAGTAACCATGAGTAGGATCCGAATACGCCAATGGATGTCGTTCACTTACTCACCCTAATACATAACAAAAAAACAAGAGGACACTAGTATGGACACTAGGGGGCAGTATGGACCTCACAAAACTACTCATATGTATAATATATTAATATTATCAAATACACATCATAGTTAGCTCATCCTTGTTTCGTATATGTACAGGTACAGGGGTAACTGTTAACGCAGTCCATCCTGGGATTGTTGTAACAGAGCTGACGAGATATCTGAATGTCCTGGTGAAGTATTTTGTTATTCTTTCACTGCTCCCCATATTGAAAAACGAACGCGACGGAGCACAGACTTCAATTCATTGCGCTGTTGCCGACGAATTAGAAAATGTGTCCGGATTGTACTTCAGGTAGGCATTACATAAATGTTTCGTATTTGTTAATGTTAATCAATGTTATTTGTTGTTGTCGGTTAGCTTCACTAATTACTGTTTTGTAAGGTTAGACAAAAAATAATCTTGAGCTTACAAAAAGAGATGCATATTATTATTATTATTATTATTATTATTATTATTATTATTATTATTATTATTATTATTATTATTATTATTATTATTATTATTATTATTATTATCAACCTTTCTCGATGTTAGTTGACTAATTCTTATACAATCTCCATCTAAGTAAAATATCGATACGCATGTATATATGTCCCAGTTGATAGTTGAAATCAACAAAATTATTTAAACTACAATAGTTTAATTATCGCAAAATATACACTTGTTTGATAAATGTGTAATCTCACCGCAAATATTTTAAATATTTTGTTTTCTGCGTTTTACAGTCGATTTCAGCATTGCTACTTTTGGAGACACTCTCAATACACACTATTTGTATTGAACTGTATCTCTGACATATATGGGGGAACATCGTGCAATCTTAAGAAAACGGATAATACATGTACATCGCAATTTGTCGTTTTGTTATCAGGCTCACACACTGCGCCATTGCATGAGCTGCATGGTCATACAATTTACGATCATTTATTTAAAGTCTATACATGTGTAGTCTTAAATCCATATTTCGTATGTATGTTTTCAGTGACTGTGCACCCAAGAAACCAACACGTGTAGCACGAGATGATGAAGCCGCAAAGAGACTTTGGGAACTTAGTGAAAGGATGGTTGGGTTGAAAGAATAATACCTGTACAATTAATC